AGATTTGAAGAGTAGACCTGGGAGCTATGGCTGAGATGTGAAGTGGAGCCTGGGTATTGTTGAAAGATGGAGTTGAAGGGGTTAAAGTCATCAGAGTAATGAGGATAAGAATTCAGGAGGCAGAGGAGGTCTGGGAAGGTCACAGGGGCAAGTTGCTGAGGGCAAGACCTAAGCCTTAACTAAAAGTTGGAGACACTGGAAAGTGAGTTGGTCAGTTTCTTCTGAGTGGGGTTTAGGTCAGACTGTGGAGAGAACTTCTCAATAGCAACATCTTTTTGAACATGAGAGATCAGCCTCTTAGGAAGTCTTTTGCTGTGAGAGATCCCAATCTGGCCAGACAGTCTTGGTGCTGGGCCACTGATGGGAGGATTTAGGGTAGACAGCTGGGCTTGTGGGCAGACCAGAGAGGTTCCCTGGGGTCTCCTCCAACCAGAAACTGCTCATGCCTTGCTTGGGCACATCTGCGCTTCTCAGGAGTCATCATGGATGTTCTTGAGGCCAGGCTTTTGAGCCTAGGGCCCAGAGGAGAACTAGCTTCTGTCTTCCCAGAGCCCCTGCCGTCCTCGGCTGCCCTCGGGGGCTGGGCCAAGGATGGGTGGCCAGGTCTCCCACGAAGCTCTCTACAAGTTCCAGGCCTCTTCTGTGTTTAGATCCCGCCCTTAGTCACGTCCCCTCCTCCGCACCCCTCAGAGAGAGCAGGAAGCTGGGGAGGAGAGGGCGTCCTAACCGACCTTGTCCTTGCCCTGGCCAGGCCTATCTGAAGGGCTGCTGGCTGCCAACCACTAAATCTGGGCGCCAGGTTTCTGCAGCAGGGTCAGAGCTGGTTTAGAAGCCTTGTGTGGTCCCCTCGTGGGCGAGCTGAGGGATCAGCCTGCCTGCCTTCCTTTAAGTCGCCTTCTTGGCTGGCAGACTGTCCCTTTTCCCTGGGTCAGAGGGAGATGTGGGGCTTGGCCAGGGAAAGTGGTCTGGAACGGCCCTTTGACATCATCCCTGGGGGCTTTTAAAAATGAGTTTCCTGGTAAGGAAGACTCCTCTGGCCTTGGGCAGGAGTCTCAGTAGAGTCTCCCGGGTTTGCTCTGATCTGACAAACGCCAGCAGAAACCACCCGGCTGCCTGCATTCCAGCAGTGCTTGGAGCCATGGCTTCCCCAGATGCTGCATCAGCAGAATGCAGCAGCCAAGGCACTGGAGTGTTTGCTCTGAATCCAGTGCTAAGCCCCAGGGGTGGAGAGTGTGCAACAAACTCCCTGGTTGGCTCTGCACATTCACATGCACACATTTCTTGCTTCTCTAGGAATGGCTGGTACCACGAATGATACCAGAAGGACTCATCTGAGTCATGACAGTCTAGGCCAGTAATGGTGAACCTTTTAGAACTTTCAATGATGCAAGTAGCTGCCTGCAGGATGTATGCCATAGGTTTTCCACCACTGTTCTAGGCCTATGATTGACAGGTGGGTTGTGAGTGTCCAGGTGGCCTGCAAAGCCAGCTCGTTTGCCACTGCTGAATAGTTTTTTAGGATTAGTGGTTGTTTGGGGAGCTGAGTCCATACCTGAAGGGCCTGACCTTGGCTGAGGGCTGCAGCAGAATGTGGTCAGGGAGATGGAGAATAAGGCAGGAGAGAGACCAGTGCTGAGGAGAAGACCAAATCTACCAGGCCTGCACCTCATCCTGTCTCTTTTATACCCCAGTGGTGGGACTATGGGCAAGACTCTGGTTTTGTCTGATTTCTCATTGCTAAATCTGTAAAATGGGCACAATTGGGAGGTCTGGCACAAAAGTTACTCTTGGTATAGGATTGAGATATAACATGCTCTATGTGTTTTTGGTTAGAGGGATCTGGGTGAGGACTCCCATCTGATCAATGCCAGATACTGGATGGAGAGTCATTAGGGTCTGGAGAGGGGAAGGAGTGCTTGGCAGTGAGGAAGTTGCTAAGCTAGGCTTCCCAGGGAGAGAAGCCATGTGAAGCAAAGGTGGAGGCTGGGGCAGAGGAAGTTTTGACTGTGTTGCTGGAGAGCTGTTAGTGGGAGGTGACAGCTTGCCTGGGGAAGCCTCCCAGCAGAATGCACCAGCCTCAGAAGGTTAGGGTGTGCATAATGTCTGGAGATGCCTGCTGCTCCATTGCTTTGGATAGGAGGGATCAGTTGGGTAGGCTAGGTTTGGGGCTGGACCTGCTGTCCCAGGGAATAGTGGGATCACTAGCAGGAGGGCCCCACCCAGAAGAATGAATTTTGCTCTGGATCCTCTATGCGTATATCTGGCTTGAGAAAGGCTCTCAGCTGGCTACTGTGGCTGAGTGGATAAATCTAGTTTGGTCTCACAGCCATCTTTGCCAGACACTCTGACCAAACCTTGGTTCCAAACTGCTGTCTGCTCTGCAGCCTCCCCTCCTAGACGTTTTGGCACTTGTCGACCTTGGACCAGAACCCCCTGCCCACATTAAAAGACTTGTACACAAGACAAATCTAATCAAGGATTAAATTTGTCTTCTGAAGCCTATTTCTAGAGGTAGAAATATAGGTAATATATTGTTATAAGAGTAACCATCAATTATAATTAAGAATTTAAAAAAACAGTAGAAGTAGCTGCACATGATGTCGTCTGCTTATAATAGTAGCAATCAGGAGGCTGAGGCGGGAGGATTACCTCAAGTTTGAGGTCAGCTTAGACTACATAGCAAATTCAAGACCAGCATGAACTACAAAGCAATCCCCTGTCTCAAAAAACAAACCAAATACATGCACACACACCCCTGTAGAAGCTGGGCATGATGATTTATGTCTATAATTCCAGCACTTAGGAGGCTGAGACAGGAGAATTGCTGCAAGTTGGAGGCCAGTCTGGGCTACATAATGAGTTCAAGGCTAGCCTTTGTCTCCAAAAAACAAAAACATGCCCCACCAATTGAATAATCAAATGCTGTTACAACCTAAGTATTACTGAGCAAAGCACCAAGTATTACTGAGTAAAGCACTTTTCTGTCACCAATTCCCACTCCAGAAGTAGCTGGGGTTGGCCAGACTGGTAAGGATAGGGAAGAATAGCCTCCCACAGCAGGGGGCTCATTCTAGATGCCTTAGGGTAAAGATGTTCACATTTTCCTGGTAAAGAGGCAGTGGGATCCTTGGTGTAGATTTGGACTGGTGGCCTCTTCCTGCTCTGCCTAGCCTTCTCTTCTATCCCCTTTTGTCACCATGGGAGAAAATTAGATGTGAACTGCAGAGTGAGAGTGAAGACGAGTTCCTCCTGCAGACCTTAGGAGGTTGAAGTCCACTCTGAGTGCCTGGGAACTACAGAGGCTGAGTCATGCAGGTAGAAAGTGTCCATTCTTGCAATGCCCACATCCTTCCTCCACGTGCTCTCTTCCCGATTGTATCCAAGGTACACTGTTTTCTTGTTGAGGATTAGCAGGGAGGGCATCACAGAGGTCCTCTGAGTCTGTAGAGGTGTTGCAAGCTCCACTTGTCCTTCTGTGTTAAGCTGTTCAGGGTTAAATTGGCCTTCTGGGCTACAAGAACATCCCAGGAAGGGCTTGATCAGGAGGCCATGTGGAAGTGTCTTCAAGTATAACCCTTCCTGACAGTCCTCAGCAACCTTCTCCTCACTGTCCTTCATAGTGCCATCACCAGTCTAGTGTCCCCCTTATCAAAACCCAGCAGTAACTCTTCTGCCTACTTTCTTCGCTTATTCACTCTGCAGTAATTTACTGGGTGCACACCAGAGCATCTGTGTTCTAGACTCAGTATCACAGTGACCCTGAAGTTCCTGTCCTAATGGATCTTATGTGTCCTGCATTAGATAATATAGTTCTACAAAGAAAAAGAACAGATTGATGGGCTGAGGAGAGGCCTTGGAAGAGATTGAAGAGAGACCTGACAGGAGGGAGGGAGTCAATCACCCATTTCTAGGCTAGGGGACAGAAAAGTTCCCTGAGAGGAAGATGTGACTGGGGAGAAGAAGAATCAGAAAGGCAAGGAAGTAATGGTGAAGTGATCCATAGTGATCCCACCCTGACAGTGACTCTCATTTCAGGTAAAATAGCAGCATGAGATGGCACACACTTAAAATCCTAACTGCTGGGATATTGAGGCAGGAGGATCAAAAGTTTGAAGTCAGTCTGGGCATCGTAGCGAAACCTTGTCTCAACCAACATAAATTTTTTTTTTAAAGAAATAGGGCTGGTAATATAGTTTAGTAGTAGAACAATTGGTATGTGAGGCTCAATCTCTGATACTAAAACAAAGATTACTTTGGTTGCTATGGAGAGAATAGCAACTAGTCCTGGGGACAGGGACTAGGACAGAAGTCAGGGGACTGGTTATGGAGTACTCTTACCTGTCTTGCCTCACACTTCCACATGGCCCTATTCTGTCTCTCCTTCCTTTTTCCTTACCTCTGTCCTAAAGGCTTAGGAAAGCTCTTAGGATTGGCCTACCTGCCTCCAACCACAGCCTAGGGAACCCCATCTTTCCTCTTAGGCCAATCATTCACCTTCAGATCCCTTTTCACTCATGTTGCCCTCCTGGTGTTCCTCATGTCTGCTGTATGCTGTATGCTGTGGCCCAGCTTAGCATGGCCTTCTCTTTGGCCTAGTTTGGTCCCCACTCCCCTGTACGCCCACAGTTTTGATTGTCTTTCTTTTATATGTCTATGTGGCTTGCCTTCCCAACTCTGAGGCCCTAGAGGGCAGGGCCCATGATGTATTCTGGATCTCAATGTGAATAGTACCTCGGGTTGGGGTTTCCCAGCCTTGTCATCTTGTGGCATAGTTGTTATACTTGTGTTTGTAACATGTGGCCCAAGGGTCTGGGGAATTTCTAGAGCCTTATTCTGGATGCCAGCAGAGAGATAGAAATCAGGGTAGTATTAGCAGGACTAATACTACCTTGGGGAAAAGGTTGGGGAAAGACAAGCCCCAGAGTAAGTTAGGGATGGGCACTTGGGGTACTGGGAAGGTTCTGCGAGATGAGCCCTCAACCTCTACCTTTGTATTTCAGACTTGAAGTTGCACCTGCAGAGCACAGACTATGGCAACTTCCTGGCCAATGAGGCCTCACCTCTAACAGTGTCAGTCATCGACGACAGGCTCAAGGAGAAGATGGTCGTGGAGTTCCGCCACATGAGGAACCATGCCTATGAGCCTCTTGCCAGTTTCCTGGACTTTATTACGTGAGTAAGCCCTGCAGTACTGGGCAAAGTACCCATATGTACAGGAGCTGGCCCCAGTGTGGCTTAGGCTAGCGGACTTAGTGTCTGTCAGCTGTCAGGCTCTGTCAGCCAGCTGTCGTTGACTATTGCCTTCAGAGTCCTCCCAAACTTTGTAAATGGACAAACCATTCAACAACTCTGGACCTGCAGGTCACAACCCATAAAGTGGAGTCACCAGCTCTTTTTCTCCAGTGTTAGAGAGATTGAACTAGGGAAGTTGGGAGTCCTTTTTTTTCACTTACCTTGTAGCATCCACACTAAACACTCAACAGACCCAATCTCCCATGCTGGCATCAAGGTTCAGGGCTCTGAAGAAACCAGTTATTAGGATGGAGTATGCAGGCTCTGTGGCCCTGTCTGGGCTGCCATGCATTCTCCATCTATTCTGACCATAGCTGTAGTCTCAGGGAGATTGAGTGAGGGTATAGATTGGCAAGGATCAAACAACCTTGCTGTCTTTCCCAGTTCTGGCCCTAGCCTCCTGAAGCTCAGGTGGGCAGGCACCTCCAGTTTATAATTCTTATCTGGACCAGTTTCTCTATCATGACCCTTTGGGGACTCAGGGTGGGGCCACTCTCCCTGCACTAAGTCCTAGAGAAGCTGAGCTAAAGAGAGGACCCTGGGACCTAAAGGTTGGGGGAGGGCACTTGGATCAGGCATCCTCTATGCAACATGTGTATCTGTGGGTGGGAGTAGGGAAGCGCCCTCTGCAGGGATGGCTCAGGAGCCATGAGCCGGAACCTGGTGACAAAGAAATAACCCTAGGCCAGGTGGCTACTCCATGCAGGTGGTGAGCAGAGGCATAGTCAGTGGTCAGTCTCTATGAGCATACTCTGTATTGATGGTGCATGACTGGTTTTGTAGAGGGGCATTTCCCTGCACTCTTCTGAGTGTTTTGTAGCTTTTCCCATTCCTTGATTATGGTGTTCCTACCCTTTTCCTTGAGAGTAGGCATACTGTCCTACTTTTCCTGGCAGGGATGGGGTTAGATGCCTTCCCTCTAGCCTGATTTCCACCTCCAACAAGCAGCTGCCACTGGCACAAGATCTTGCTCAATTGAGGGCTTTATCCAGAGGGTTCCATCCTTGGGTAAGAGCCACAAGCTGGGGCACTTAAAGTACTCAGGAAAACTGCTCAAGCTGGGAAGTAGGCCCTCTCCTGGCCACAGACCTTTTTTTCCAGAGACTTCCTTACTGTCCTTGCTGGGCCATACCCACACTGCTTGGTCCCTATTGACACATTGACATATACCTATTTAGGCAAGAGGCTAGAGGTGGAGTATATCCTGTGCTGTCTGTCACATTTGGGTGTTGGGGGTCACAATGCAGTATGCCACCTTTCACCCGACCCATGGTCTAGGCCTGTGTGTCCCCTGCTCTAACACCAGAACCAGGGACATACTAGGAAGCAGACCATTTATTGCCAGTCTAAGCTAAAGGTAACTTTAGCTTATTTACACAAAGCTCTTTCAGCTTCTTGGTGGATGTTCAGGTTTTGCCAGCTAGGAAGGCTAGGGGAGGCCTAACCCCATGCCAGTGGTCAGAGGGTAGAAATCATTCTTCTTGTTGCCCACTTGCCCACCTGTCTTTGCCCTAGTCCCCAGTGTGTCCTGGTGTCAAAATGCCAGGCTCCAAAACTAGAGAGAGCTCTGAGTAGGACTGAGACAGAGTAGTTGCCAGCTCTTTGCTGGAGATTGGCTACAAGCACCAAGTGTATTTAAAGCAGCCAAACACTATCCTGTGGCAGGCTGTCTGAATCTGTCACTTTCCCCGCCCCTTCCATTCATGGGTGATTGTGGCTTACAGCCTTCTTGTCCACTTACTCCTGCTCTCACTTGAGGAGAGCTCAGCGGCCACGTGTCAGCCTGTCTGAGCCTGTGGCTGCTTGTTCTCCAACCCCATCATCTCCAGTGACCTGCTCCTCTGCTCTCCAGTTCAGCCATCCCCACTAACGGCTGCCCAAAGCCATGTCACTACCTGGAAATGCTCCACCCCGAAATTGCTGAGTCAGGCACCCCTCTCTACCAACAGACTTAAGATCTCCAACCCACTATTCGGTCCCTTGGGAGACATGGGTTCCGGACTCAGCAGGACACTGGCTGTACTCCCCTGCTGCCCCCCATCTTCATTTCCCACCCTCTGCAGCTGAGGTTCCCTGGTTCATCATTCTAGCTCTCTTCTGCCAACATCCGCAGCAGTCTTGGCCGCCCGACTTATGGTCCCACCCAGCTGGCAGCCCCCCAGCCCTGGAGGAGTCCCAGCAACCTCCATCCTGGAGCTGCCCCACCCCCACCTCCAGTGCTGGGAGCAAAGCTGGGGAAGCTGGCTATTAGGATGGACGGGTTATCCCTGCTGCCAGACATGCATGTGTACCCAGTCAGTGAGCCTCAGCTTGTCTTTGCCCAGTAGCCTCTTGCTGTCCCAACTCAGCATCCTGCAGCCCACCCCCCCAATGGTGAGAAGACTACCTCCCATCTTAAACATCATCCTTCTCCTGCCCCAGCGTCTTCTCTGGGCAGATGGCCCACTTCCTCCTCCACAAAGACAGTAGAAGCCAGTACGTCTCTTAGCACTGCTTCTGCGCTCTGCTCCTGAACACCATTCCAGTGGAAGAAGAAGCACCCTTCTGCTCTGAGGTCCTTTCACCAGTGATCTGAGACCCCTCGCCTTACTCCCTAGTTACTGAGTGGTCACTCCTGTCTGAATAGCCACTTCCCCTTGCACATCCCTTCCTTTACTTCCTGATGCCATTCTCCAAACTAACACCATCACAGACCCATCTTGTGAGTCTTAAACTTTAACATTCCCTAACTGTTCTGTCACCTCCTTATCATCTTTCAAGCCTCTAGTCAACTTCTATCACCCATCACTCTACAACAAGGCCCTGGCTTGGGTCACACCTAGCGGTCATGGAGATGTGGTCTGTAGGCCTGGTTGCTAGGTAGTGTATGGCCCCCACCAGTCTCCCCTCATGTTTTCTCTCTGATTTAACTCTTTCCTCTCCAGCTGTTCTTTTTACTCTACTCTGCCCCATCAAGTCATCCTAGGTAAAAGAAGTATTGCAGAAAAGGATCAAAAGCCTTCCTTTGCAATCTGTACCAGGGGGCTCCCCCAGACTGGGAGTTCATGGCTGGTTTCCCTGAGAGGGTAGCTACTTGGCTGAGGGAAAAAGTATTTTATGGAAAAAATTAGGAGAGCAGGATCCAGGTTGATCGAATCATACATGTCCTAGTAGCAATCATGGAGCCAGTGACCCTGTTACCCTACAGAAAGCTACCTAGTAATGTCCAGAGGACATACACAAAGAGGAGAGTGCAGCCTTCCAGGAGGTAGAAGTATCACCAGAGACCTGTTCTGTGCTATGGCTGTCCACAGACAAAGCTGGCTCAGCTGGAGATAGAGGCAGCTCCCTTTGGAGCTGCCCCTGGATGGCTGGAACAGGCTTCTACAGGAGATACTGAGTTCCCTGTTTCTGAAAGTGTGTGGGCAGAAACTGGTTAAGGCTTCCTCTGCCCTTCTGTGTGAAACTGTGCAGTGCTTGTGTTGATTGCAGCCATCACACAAAGCCAGTACCTGCTCTGGGCCAGACTCAATGTCAGGAAGGAAATGTGTGGATACAGGGCAATGATGTGAGCAGAGCCTGGAAAGGTCTGAGCAGCCTCAGCAAATGAGACTGGGGTTACAGGTGGCTTCTCGGCATTGAGAGGACTCCAGGATCAGGTGGGGATGGAGAGATCATTTGAAAGAGCGGGTGGTCATAGTGGAGGCAGCTGCCTCGTGTGGGGCAGACAGTCTAAGTGATCTGGGCCCCCCTGAAGTAGACTGTCAGTGTGGAATCAGCTCAATTTCATGGTGTTAACATGTTAATATGTCATTGCACCAAGGGCTCTTGCCAGACCCAGTCATTAACTTTCTGTGTGACTTAGGATACAGTTTCTACCTGGGCTTTTTTGCCTTGGAGGAGACCTTGATCTGGATCATTTCATAATGTTTTACTGTAGGAGAGTCGACACCAGAAGAGAGGCTGGGGAGTTGCTTGTGGGAGTATTGGGCCTGGTCTCTGGAGACTACCAGCTTGGCCCGAAAGGCACTTGTCTTTGAATGTGTGAGAGTCTGTCGCAGGGGGCTTCCCCAGTACAGAGCACTTCCTGCAACCTAGGTGCCTATGGACAAGAGTCTGGGCATGGGAAATTGGTAACAACTTGGGGACCTGATGTCCCACATTTCTCCTGGGTCAGAAATATCACTGCCACCAGCTGGAGCAAGCAGCTAGAGGAAGGGTTTGGTCCAGGAGAGTGGCTTCAAGTCCCCAGCGTGCCTGTGGTTACATCTGCCATTCTTCCCAGAACATGTCACTTCGAACTTGGGCCCTGGTAAATCACAAAAAGACATTGGATTTCCATGGGCTTTCCTTTCCAGACGGCTTCCAGATGGCTGCATCCAGCTTGGTTTTTGTGTGGACTGCAGGGCTCTGCAGACTGAAGCCCTAGCCCTGCTGTGGTTTTGAGTACTGGGCTAGACATGGCCTCTGCTTGACGGAGAGCCAGCAACGACACTGCTTTAGACTTCAGGAGGTGTACTCAGGGAGAGTACCCAGGAGCTCAAAGTTAAGGCTCAAATTGGAAGAAAACCCAGTGGGCTTCTGAAGAGGAGCAAAATTTTAATGAGAGGATCAGAGCCTCTCTAGCTCTGTCATGTGGCACATTTCACATATTCTGATTGCAGAGAAGAAGCAAGACTTGAGATGGGTGTGCTGATGCTGTAGTGGGTATTTCTGTTCACTGTCTACCCTGGACAGGGATTTTAGGAATCTGACACAACTGAGTATAGATGCAAGCAGTTCATGGTATACATGCTAGAGCCCCTGGTAGAGACTGAGTAGATAGCTGGCGGGGGTTAAACCCAGTGATCATGGTCAGTGCAAGGACTGAGAAGTCTTGCCACTCCAGCAGGTGGCACCAAAGGCACAATGGAGAAGAAGGGTTGGCTAGGGACTCTGAAGGCTTCTTAGGGAAAATAGCTTCTTAAACTCTATCCTGAGCTTGGAGGCATCATTTATTTTATGCCATGCCACCATTTCAGAGGTAGTAGACAGTGGAGGGCCACTGGACTGAGGCATACAGATTCCCCCACCCCCACCCCACAAGGGGCTCTTTGGTGTGGTGGGCAGTCGGCCATCCACTCCCCAGCTGTCTTCCCCAGGAGGGAGACGCTGACCAGCTGGAACCTCATTCTCTGCTATTGAGGCCAAATGAGAGGAAGAATGGTGAAGTGGTTCTCTGGGGCCAGGGAGGCAGCTGCTAAAGCCAGGCAAGGAGGAGGAAGGTTTCCCTGCCTGTTAAAGGCCTCAGCCTTGTAGGGAGGTATAATGGCTGGGCCACATCACCCAGGCCTGTCTTGCCTCTCATCTCCCAGAAAAGAAGATTCTGGCCCTCACCAAGCAGAGGCCTCTGCGAGGCAACTTTGCAGTTGGCCCAGAGGGAGGGAGGTGCTGGGCCTGGCACCGGATCATCCAAGTCAGGCCTGGCTTAGATAGAAGGGGGCCTTGGAAGGGGCTGAGTGGCATGATTATGAGTGGCCCTTTACTTAGCCTAGCATTTTCTTCTGTACTCTGCTAAGGCTTGTAGCAAGTGATGCTTAGGGGAACCAAAAAGGGGGGTGTTTACCCGCCTCCACATGTGCTGTCAGGGTTGAAAAGTGAATCATAGCTGGCCTGTTCCACATCACTGGAGAGACAGCAGTGAAGCTAGACAGCAGTTTCTTCCCACAGGGCTGTCCTCTGAGGCTGGCCAGGATCCTCAGGAGTGCCACGGCATTTCCTTTAAGCCTTGACCCCAGCCTTGCCCTCAACCTAAACAGTTACCCTGAGTTGTGGAAGCAAGAGGGAGGTTTAGAAAAAGGAGACTAGTTTGTTGAGATCCCTCTGAGAAAAGAAAGCTAATGGGGAGTGTAGAGCTAGGGCATGGAGCTTTGGACTTGGGTGGAGATATATGGATGGTAGCTATGGGAACAGAGCTCCTCTGCCTTATTTTGTGACAGAGCTTGGTTCTGACCCCCTCTGGGTCTTTCTTTCTTGACAATGAGGCTAGTTGTGGGATCACTCAGATAATGTAGGTGCAAGGGATGTGCCATTGTTTTTCTATTTATCTAAAGGATGTGAGAGCATAAAAGAACCTCCTAAGGCTCAGGTACAGGTCTTTGTGACTGTCCCAGGGGACATGATGGCTACAGTGGGACTAGATGGGTGAAGATGCAATGTTGAAGGGTAGTGGGTGTACCCTGGGGTAAATAAGATGACACCACAAGGTCGTGTCAAGAACAGGAGGCTGTGCTGGCCAGAGAAGATGCAGATAGGAGCTGGAAGCCAAGGCACAAAGCTCTAGTGGGCTCTTTATAGCCCTTCTGTCCTTCCAGCTCTGTGGGACTGAGGAAGCGAGGCTGGCCATATGGGCCTCTTGGCTTGCAGCTGCAAATGGGCTTTGCCTGAGGGCCTGAGTCTGGGGGGATGTCTCTTCTCAGTGCACATCCCATAGCTGACCCAGCCGGACAGGGGATGGTTAGAGGGCAGCTGCCTGGCCATAGGCCCAGGAGAGCAGAGGTCAGAGCAGGGCGCCAGGCTGCATGGGAGCGGAGGGAGTGCACAGAAAGCAGGGGGAGTAGAGTTCAGGCCAGGACAGGAGCTGGAGCCTCCTCCTGTTGCCTTCCTGGAAGCCCCAGCGGGAGCACCCCAAATAGCCAGCCCTGGGCCACCATTTCGCTTCCCTTGTTCTTTTGGTACTAGACACTGCCTCCTACCAGGGCTTTCCCTCACAACCTCAGCACTAGGTGCTCATGGTCGTGTCATAAGGTAAGAGTCTACTTCTCACCCACCCAGAAACCTGGATGAGACCTGTGCTCAGGTCCCAACTCAGAGCAGCAATCTCCGCTTAGTTCTCACCCTTGTATGACCTCAGTCTGGCCTTTGAGGACATTCCCCTGAGGCCTTATGCAGCTGTCTTGTGCCCTGAGTTCATCCCTGGTTATAGGCTGAAAGATAATTGTGGCTGCTGCAGCCTGTGTCTGGAGCTCTCTCTCTTGATTTCATCTCCCTCACCACACCCTATAAGTGACTGCACAGAACTCTGCCTTAGCCCCTTTGAGCCCATGCCTTTTGTTTGGAGTCAGACCTTTGTCCTTTGCCAAGTCTGAACTGGGCAGCTCCAATCTCCCCAGCATCACAGCCCCCTTTGCTGTCCATTGACTCTCCGGAGCTGGCCTCCTGGAGGGCACATTCTAGGGGAATCCAACCTGTCAGATCCCTAGGGCTCATCCAGGGGCCCCTGGCCTCAACCACTAGGGAGGAGAGAGAGTGCTTTTCTCTTTTTGGAGCCATGCAGGCCTACCGGATCCAGGCCTTCATTCTAACCTCCTGTCCCCACTAGCTCCACCTTGGTATTTCCTGGAGAAATACCACTTCCCACTCCTCTCCTCCCCATCCTTTCCTCTCTTGCCCCCAGGGAGGCAGAGTCTCCCTAACTCCCAGCTTACATGATGCTTATAGATCCTTGGTGCTTGAGATGAAGACCCTAGCTTGGACTAAGCCCAGCCTCCAGGTACCCTTCTGCTGGCAGCAGTGCCCTGCCAATGGCTGTGCCCTTTCTTTGCCTCTGCTATTCCTGACCATGTTCAGTTCCTCAAATGTGGCGACATGCAGTGCAGGCCTCCAGGCCTTTACCTATACTGTTCCCTCTTCCCAGAACACACTTTCATCTCCCAGTCCTTTTACCTCCCAGGCTTCTGGCTACACTTGTCTCCCGGCCACACTGCCTGCCTAACCTCCATGTGCCCATGGTTCTTGTGTCCTGTTAGAACACTGTTCATACTTTGGAGCATTACCTATGTGCCAGTCCCTCAATGGGCCATGAATCTGCAAGGCAGAGGCCATGTCTGTCCTGTGCTTCTGGTGCTGGAGAAGGGGTGGACACTTGAGAGGATTTAGGGAGGGAGCCGTCCAAGGACAGAGCTGTTAGTGCCTGTCTGCAACACTTACAAGCAAGCACACACGTGGGGTTATTGATATGATGCTAGGCCAGGCCTTCTAAGTCCCTACCCCTTTGGGTTGCCCTGCTGTTGTCCGCCCCTACAGTTACAGCTACATGATTGACAATGTGATCCTGCTCATCACGGGCACGCTGCACCAGCGCTCCATTGCTGAACTTGTACCCAAGTGCCACCCACTAGGCAGCTTCGAACAGATGGAGGCCGTGAACATCGCACAGACACCTGCTGAGCTCTACAATGCCATTCTGGTGGATACGCCCCTGGGTGAGCTGCTGCAAGTAGAAGCAGGGTGGTATCTTAGCTCATCTCCTCAATGTGGGGTTTGTGGACTGCCAGGGGCAGCCTGAGCCAGAATATGAGACACTGCTGTTGACCTTTGTTCTTCCTTCAGCTCCCCTTTTATTCTCTCCTCTTTATTCCCTCCCGTACTATTGTTTTTGCTGGACCAGATCCGCTAGGTCTGACTTGAACTTACTAACTTTGGAAATAGTTTGATATTTTAGGGTGTAAAATAAGAGAGCAGAATTCATGGAGAGGAGAGAGAAGGGCTTGGTCCTTGTGAGAGCTCTGAGTGCCCCTAAGCAGCACCAGAGTGGCTGGTTGTCCATGAGACAGAGGAAGAAAGCAAACAGCTTCATTGAGCTCCATCAAGTAGGTCCCAGAGGCCAGGTCAGGCGACCCAAGGGGCCACTGTGCGGGTAGAAGGAGAGGCCAGAGCAGGATAGAGCACCCCGACTCCCCCTGGAAGTCTGGTAGACTCAGTGGTCTATTGGATGGAGAAACCACAGATGTCACAAATAGCCCAGAGCTGGTGCAGCAGGATGCAGGGTTCATGGTAGAGACCAAGAAAGGGAAGGGAACCAGGAGCTTCCTGTAGGACTCTACATAGGCAGTGCTGGTTTCTGCCTGCCTAGGAGTCTATAGAGGAGGCATGAGGTCTGTAACCAGCTTGTACTCTTATATCCAAAATCCTGAGCCCCAGGGTACCACTCCAGTAAGCCACCAGAGTTGAACTCAGGGCTCTAAGCAAAGAAGTCCAAGCTGTACCTGTTGACCTGGTCTTTCTGACTTTGCCAGTGACTCTGAACCAGCTCTGGGCTATTTGTGATTTCTGTGGTTTCTCCATCCAGTGGACTGCTGAGTCTACAGGCCTTCCAGAGGGAGAGGGGGTGCTCTATCCTGCTCTGGCTTCTCCTTCTACCGTTACAGTGGCCCCTTGGGTCACCAGTTCATGTGCACACAGCTGCTATACTCATTTCTTGTCCTAAGGAGAAGGCAAGTTTTTTAACTGTGGGCGTTAGGCCCCAACTCCACAGCTGCCCCTGGGGAAAGAAGAATCTCATGGGCTCTTATGCAAGCCTGTCTTTGGCATGGTCTGAACTTGGGTCAGCCCCAGTGGCGATTAGATCATGTTATGGCTGGCTGCCTCCTTTATAAATCAATTTTAGAGCAAGGAGGCAGGAAAAGCTCAGGTCAGTGTGCATGGCCCAGAGTATTACTCTGCCACTTGCAAGGCAATATCTCAGGCTGGTTGGGGGGTCCCCTAATACCTAGCCTAATGATCCTCTGTGCCCTGGAGGGTGGTTGTGCATCTTCAGGGGCCTTGCCTAAGCTACTTGCTCACCCCTCACACCCATTTCTTCCCTCCCCAGCGGCTTTTTTCCAGGACTGCATCTCAGAACAGGACCTTGATGAGATGAACATTGAGATCATCCGCAACACACTCTATAAGGTAGAGCCCTGCGTGAGCAGTGGGGGATTAGCCTGTTGGCAGGAGGTGAGAAGGGGTAGAGTGGGATGGTGATTTATGTGAGATATTGGGACAGCTGCACCAGGCTTTTGTCCCAGGGGCTTATCCACTCTTTTTCTGGCTCCTGTGATGGGTGGAAGGTTGCCTGGAACAGGTTTTCCATCCTGTGGTGCCTGCGGCGGGCTCAGATAAAATCAACAGGAGTGGCTGGCATTCTACCAGTTGGGCTGTCAGAGCTAACTCCTAGACAGCCACTCGCTCCGCATCCAGGAGGGTCACGAGCCACCACCCAGGCCATAGCCGTTGGACCTACCTGACCTGGGCTGTTGACAGCCAGGATAAGCATTTGAGTAGAGGCAGCAGTTTGTTCAGTTATGGTGGGAGGGATCCAGCCAGGCGTAGCCAGGTCCTTATTACCTTTTCAGGTTCAAAGCAAAACCTTATCCCACTGTCCTCATCCCGGTTCACCTGCTGCTTCATGGAGGGCTGTGGCATAGACTGACTGATCCCTTTGGACTGCTCTGGTGCAAAGAGATTAAGAGCCAGGGACCAGTTCAGTGTTTTGGAGACAGGCTGAGTTTTAGCTGTGATGAGGTACTGAGCTGTGGTAGGCGGTATTCTGGCACATGGACAAGCTGTGGGTAGGCCTTGAAAGGGGGCACTGGGCAAGGGACTTGCTAGTCAAGGGACCTGTTGACGTGACCATGAGACCTGCTGACCTAACCCCAAGAACATGTGGCTATCCAGTCTCCACAGTGAGGGTACTCTCTTCCCTTTTTGGAGCTATCTGGTTAGCATTCAGCTCTGCCTGAGCCTGGGTCCCCCAGAGACCTGGTCAGTATGCAGCGAGAAGATATGGTGGTAGATGAAGAGCCAGCCTGAGGTTGTGATGGTGTGGGCAGGATGATAGTACATGTAGAAGGAAGGCGCAGAACGTGGCCAGGTGGCGAGTGTTTGTTGTGGATGTATAGTTTCCATCTAGACAATAGAAGAGAGCTTCAGAGGAAGAGGTAGCAGAGGTAACAGAGTCAAGTTACCCAGCGTCTTGAATGCCAGGCCAGAGATTTGAATTTTATGCTGTAGGTAGGATCAAGAGAAGTTTCCAGCAGAGTAGAATTTGCTCAGGAAGCCCCCAGTGGTTTGCAGTGTGGAGGGCAAAGGAGAGACAGGGAGGTTACCCACCACTTTAATCCTTCAGACTCCCCTGACATCTTTAGGCACAATTGTCCTCATTTGTAAAATGAAGAAACTAAAGACTCAGAGAAGTAGGATGGTTGTATAAAACCACACAGTAAGTCACTGGCAGCACAAGGAATTACACCTGGCTCAGTTTGTTTGTAAAAGCAAGTACTGTCACCACCCTGCTGACATGGAGAAAAGCCAGCCTAGTAAGGGGAAGGAGAGAAAGAGAGAAAATGTGTGTGGGGAAGTACACATGTATATACACTCACACTCACACACACACACTACTTGTGCTTCTGCCCATCCAGCTGGCCTGTTGCCACATTCCCTGCCTCAAGACAGGGTAAGAGATATGGCTGTCCCTCCAACCTCACCCACACCCTCACTGGGCCTGACTGGTTTTAACTGGAGTCATTGGCAAGAACTGCCTAAGCACCTGCTAATAAATACTGACCCAACACTGCAGGCCCTGTGCCAGGACTGCCTGCCTGGCAGGCAATGTCCCAGCCTGATGGTCACAGATGGAAGATTAGGTAGACTCTCAGTCACCTGATAGGTGGGAACTGTAAGTAGCTGGTGCAGCAACCATGGGCTAGTAGACTCCAGGGGACAGGGCGGAGATGGGGAGGTGACCTTGGTACCTGGGTCTTGCCAGTTTCCTTATCTGTGCTAGCCACTAGAAGTAGCCTGATCTGCCTGCCTTTCCAACCTTGGAATCACTCTTTCTAGAGAGCACATGGGTAGATATATGAGGGTATGGAGTCCCAAGACTTGACTGGTGACCCTTACCCACCCCCCCATAGGAATTGCAAGGGGTAGATCTTGGGATTTTAATACAGCCAGTTTGTCTGGCCCCAAGGGACTGACTCCTGGAGGGACCAAGAAACACCTCCAAATTGTGGTAGTGGGGATGGCATCTGTCTGGCTGCAGGACCTCTGATTTCTGGCAGTCCTTTATACCGGGCTCTGCTCTTTTTCTCCACGCTGCTTATTCCTGACCTGTCCTAGTCTTTTGTTATCTGTTGTCACTCCCAAGCTCTATCTGAGGCTCAGCTTTTTCAGTGTTGTTAGCTGGGCTAAGCCTGGGCTTTTAGAATCCTGGGTCTTGTCTCATCTCTTGAAACAGCAAAGCCTCTGGGTCCAAGTTATCTGGAAAGCAGACCTCAGTGTGGGAAGCTTTTCATGCTACCCAGGCCCCTCTTCCAACTCAGAATAGATTGTGTCTATGGAGCCTGAGTTTCTGGAACCAAATCACAAGATAGGTCCTGGGAGTCTGAGTGAGGCCTGCAGGACCATAATGTGAGGAAAGAGGTCTGGTTGACTGTGAGTGAGAGGAAGGACCTGAAGTCTTGACTGACCTGTCCTTTCCTTGTGCCCAGCAGATTCAATTTACCTGCACAGGAAGTACTTGTTTTCACTAGTAGCCTGTGTGCCCAGCCATTGCACTGTGAGGCTGACGTCTGCATAGGCAATAACCATCCTTCATCACAAACTGGCCTGACAGTTTGGTTCCTGTAGTGTGATGCCCAAGGGCAGCCTGTGGGTTGGGACGAGAAGGTGTTTTCCAAGGTAGGATGCAGTGATGGCCATTGGATACTCATTCCAGGTCATCTCTGTGAGCTCTCAGGAGTAATCTTTCCTTACTAGCCCTTAGACATCAGCTGTTCTGAGACTGAGGAAGGAGAGATTTAGGGAGATTTTAAGGAGAAAAAGACAGAGGTCCCTGTGAGCAAGTCCTTTGTGAGAAGAGGCAGTAAGAACATGCAATGTTCTGTCACTCCTGGTTGGAAGGCAGCAGGCTACTGCTGCTTGGCTAATTAACTGTTGGAGTTGGTGATGTTTCAGGGGCTTTGCAAAAGAATTGCCTTTGCAGTCCCTACTATGAAAGGGGCTGGGGAGGGGAGGAAGAAGCTGCGAGTAAGGGCCTGACAAGTCTTGCCAAGTCTCTCTGCTCACACTGAGCAAGCTCCATGCTCTGCACAGGCCTACCTGGAGTCCTTCTACAAGTTCTGTACCTTACTAGGTGGGACCACAGCTGATGCCATGTGCCCTATCCTGGAGGTGAGTATCTGCCCACACTGACTCCCTACTGGTCCCCACTAGGTGGCCTGCCTACTGGTTCCCACTAGCCCTGCCCTAGGGGAAGCTCTGCCAACTGGCTCAGCCTTCCTTTTTTCCCTCTCTCCTTGCCTGTGAACTTCCCTACAGTTTGAAGCAGACCGCCGAGCCTTCATCATCACCATCAACTCTTTCGGCACAGAGCTGTCCAAGGAGGACCGTGCCAAGCTCTTCCCACACTGTGGGCGCCTCTACCCTGAAGGCCTGGCTCAGCTAGCTCGGGCTGATGACTATGAGCAGGTCAAGAATGTGGCCGATTACTACCCGGTGAGTTCCCTGACTGGCAGAATGGTGGGTGGCCATATTGACATTGCATGCCCCTTCCCCTAAGCACCCAACAGCCCATTCATGCTCATGTTTCTAACTATTCCCGGCCAGGAATACAAGCTGCTTTTTGAAGGTGCAGGTAGCAATCCTGGAGACAAGACCCTGGAGGATCGATTCTTTGAGCATGAGGTGAGCACAGGGCCTGCTCAGAATAGGGAAGAGTTGGTGGCAAAGGCCAGACTGGACTCACCCACCTATATATCACACCTGCCTCTGTCCACAGGTGAAACTGAACAAGTTGGCCTTCCTGAACCAGTTCCACTTTGGAGTCTTCTATGCCTTTGTGAAGCTCAAGGAGCAAGAGTGTCGCAATATTGTGTGGATCGCTGAGTGCATTGCACAGCGCCACCGCGCCAAGATTGATAACTACATCCCCATCTTCTAGCCTCCTGACCAAGTGTTGTGTATATGTCTGGGTGTGCTGTGATGAAGCCCATGGCTCACCTGCCTGCCCTGGGGGTGGGTAGCGCATTGTTGTAGGGGCCGGGCAGCTTCCCTGACACCTCCCCACCTTCCCACTCTTAGGTCTGAAAAGAGCTGGGCACTTTTCCCCGACCAAGAATGGACCAAGACCCCTCAGAGCATTGAGGCCCCATCAGCTCTGTTTACAGCCACTTACATGTCTGAAAAGCATGTGGTTACTTTCACATCCCTCTCTAACCTGAGAACCCTGGGGACAGTAAGAGCCTCCTTTTCCAGAGCCCTGGCCCATGGGAAGAATAGACTATGTATATCCTTGGGGCATGGGGAAAGTAGTTCTTCCTTAGCTCTGGACCTGAGACAATAAAACTGCCCTAAGACCACTGTCTGTTGTCTCCTTTGGGTTCTAGTAACCCTCCCAGGTCCTCAACTTCCCTCATGACTATACCGTGTGAACTCAGCAGCCCAGATGTTTCAGATCGGAATTACCTAGACTGGAGCTCAGGTACAGAGACAGGCTTGCAGAGTTGGGTTCTGAGGGCTTCCAAGACTCTTTATTATAGTTGTACTGAGCCCTACAACTCTCTGTGATCATGACCACTGTCCTCATTTCATTATGAGGAAATCCAAACATAGGTTTAAATGATTTGCCTGGGGTAAATGGAGGAGGCAGTACATGAGCCAGGGTATGCCAGGGGAGCCCAGTCAAGCCTGTGCCCAGAGCCCTGCTCCTCATGCTGCTGAACCCCGTGAGTTCTCCATCTGTGCCATACAGCCACACCCCATCACCTAGGTAACCAGCAGTCACCCCTTCCAAACAGTGTACCTCATGCATTCTAGGAAAAATAAAAATTACCTTTATTTAAAAAGTAGCAATCAAGCAAATAGAGTGTGCAGCTTCACTGTGGATTGGAAGTGGGAGGTGGGGGTCCTAAGTCTTGAGCTAGGCAAAAGGCAGCTGGGATTTACCCTGGAATTGTAGCACTGAGGCATTGGTGCTGAGAAACAATTCTGAGGGTGTCCCCAACCTACTTAGTCACTCCTTAGTTTGCAGAGACACTGTCTACAGGGTCCTGACAAAGACTGCAGCTAACTCCTACACAAAACTCCCCATCCAGATGGATTCTCCCATCTGCAGAGCAGAGTGTTGTGCTCAAGAGGGTCTGTGTGGGCTCACGAAGCAGTAGAGACCCAGAAGTTCCCCGGAAATCCTCAGCCTCCTGGCCTAGACTGGGCAGTGGGAGTTGGAGGCTGAAGTTTGTTAGGCTAGGCTCTGGGGTAGACTTGTGGGGCTCAGAATGGCTAGGAAAGAGCCAAAGGCTCATGGAGTGATCTGTCCTGTGGCAACTAGGTCATGTGTACACATGGCTCATCTAGCCAGCACTGGGGAAGGGCCTGGGTTTAGGTTTGAGTTCCCTCGGTTGCACCTTGGGAAAGAGTAAGGCCAGGCTGGCCAGGCTGCAGTGCTCGGGGCAGACAGGGACTAATGAAGAAGGTCTGCAGGAAGCGGCGCCGCAGGCTCTCTGGCAGATAGTAGTGGATGAAGTACATGAGCCCCACGCCACGGCCTGGGTAATAGCGGCGGCGTGGGTGAGCTGCCAGCAGCGCGTCAGTGATGGCATCTGTAACTGGGCTGAGGTCAGGCAGTGCCTTGCCGAGTGAATTCAGGAATTGCCTGTGCAAGTGTTCAATGTAATCTTCACCATAGGCCTGCAGCAGCTCTCGGGGAAGGTTGGCTAGCAGCAGTTGTTTGCGTTGTTCCCACAATTTCACGTTCATCACCGATTCTGGTGATAAAGGGGTGGCAAGGTTAGAAGGCAGTGGTGTGAGGGAAGCCAGAGGCCACTGGTCTATTTGACCTGGCCACTTCTGCAGCTAAAGTTGTGTCTGTTTTTAAGACGTACCCCTTTCCTCATAAGGTCATGTTCACCACCTTGTTTCCCATACCCAGGTCCCATCCACCCCTAACCCTCACCTGTCTTAAAGCAACCAGGCTGGATGACGCTGACTTTGATACCCCAGGGAATAAGTTCAGAGCCAAATAAGTCCGTGAGCAGCACTATAGCTGCCTTGGAGGTTCCGTAGGCTGCCAAGCATGGATATGGCATATCTCCTAGGGATAAAAGGGGAATGGCAGATCAGCCATGGCAGGAGCTCCCCAAATCCTTCCCTATCCCACAGCAGCTCCTTTTCTATTGTGCCCCAAGGAGGATGGCACTTACCTGCTGGACTGCCCATTGTTACAATGCGACCCTTTGAGCGACGTAGGAGTGGCAGAAGGCCCTTGGTCAGCTCAAGTACACCAAAGAAGTTCACCTCCATGCACTTGCGGAATGTGGCCACTGGAGACAGCTCCACATCAGCCACTATGTCATTTAAACCTGCATTGTTGACCAGGCCCCACAGGCCTGAGGACAGAGAAGCAAAGAGTAAAGTTTCAGGTCAGCCCTGAGGGAAATCCTGCAAACCCTGCCCTTGCATAGCTGCCTGGCCATGCCCTCCCCCAGGGAAGCCGTGCCTAACCAGTACTGGTCGTGTGGGCCTTGGTGAACTCCAGCACACGGCTAATGTCCTCTGGCTTCATCAGGTTCATCTGCAGCAGCTTTAGGCGAGAGGAACAGCAGGCACGCAGTTCTAGGGCGCCGGGGCTATCGAGGTCCAACACGGTGGCCAGCACCATGAAGCCCATGGCATCCAGTTTCTTGACTGCCTCCTTGCCAAAACCAGTGTCACAGCCTGGTCAGGGTAGAGTAGTCAGTGCACTCCCACAGTGGTCCAGTGCAGCCCAAGACAAAGATCACCAGAGTAAGGGTGACATCCAGGGCCCCCTGCACTCAATCCAGAAGTCTTGAGCCTGCCCTCCTTTCCTCTAGTCCATCTCCGGCAGACTTTGCCCTTCTAGCTAAACTTTTGAACACAAATTCTGATAGTTGTCATCTCCTTATGGCTATCCTATCAAAGATGGTGTGTAATCCATACTTAAAGAAGAAACTGACCTAGTAAACAGACCTAGTAATACTAATTTGATTCCCAAAGTCACCCAGCCAGCACAAAGGTCAAGACTACCCCAGGTAGGCTGGAGATCCAGCTCCACTCCTGATGTCCTTCCTGCATGATTTAGGCTAGAGCTCATATCCAGTGTTATCCTTTCTTTCTGCCCTTGCCCTTCCTTTACCTGGACACTGAAGCAGCTTTCTTGATAGTCTTGTTCAAGTTCAAACCCACTCCCAATATATATCCTCTATCTAAGCAGCTGGAGGGATTTTTTTTTTTTTTTGTCTTTTTTTTGAAACGGTCTCTCCATGTAGTTCAGGCTGGTCTTGAGCTCACTTTGTAGCCTAGGCTGGTCTTGAACTCGCAATGATCCTCCTGCCTCAGCCTCCCACGTGCTGGGATTACAGGCATGAGCCACCACGCCCGGCAGAGCGATCTTTAGAAATTGCCAGTCTCACTGTGCTGCTGAAAACTTTCCCAAGACTCCCTTCAAGCCTCAGGACAAAGCCCAGGCTTTCTGGTAACCATCATTCAGGCCCTGTCCAACCTAAGATTCCCCCTCTATTCCCAGTCTCAACACCCCCTACTATTGTTGCAGACCCTGGGCAAGCAGAAGGCCCATTGCCACCTTACTCCAGACTCTACCCTTGGGATTCCAATCAGTGGCAATGATGGAATGTTTTCTGAGTTGCAGGCCACTTGCCTCAGAACAAGTGGCCTGGTGAGGGAAGATGAGAATAGACATGCATTTGAATGCCTTCCCACATGCACCTTGTGTCTGCCAGAGCTCTGTTACAATTCCTGGAGCCTTACTTTCTGGCCTTTGGTATGCAGAGAGAACCACCAGGCAGTGCTGGTAAAGAGGTCCATGTACCTGATTAAACCCAAGCTTTCTCAGGTTTTCTGTTCTGATCCTGTGGGTAGCCAGTAAAGGGAGGGGGAGAGGTAGTGAGGGAGGAGTCTCTCTGCAGTACTAGCCACCAGCCCTTACTTAGGTCCTGCTGAGCAGAAAAGCTGCAAAGTAACTCTTGTTTCCCCACTCGTGGATACTCAGCACCCCCTCCCACCTCGGCCCCACCCTCTCTGCTGAGGCCCACAACAAAGCTGGGCAAGTGGCTTGGAATTGGCGTTGTATGGCTGGGGACTGCCAACCTGTGCTAAGGGGTCTTTCTCAGGCAACTCTGCTGGGGAACGTAAGTATGTGTGTGTCTTTAGTGTGTACTTGTGTACAAATGTGTGTGCCTCAGTTCCTTCCCAAAGCAGGTGAACCTTCTACAGGGAAACTAAGGCCTCCTAGAGCCTCAGCTCTGGGGTCCCAACATTGTCATCCACATTTTACACACTCTTTTGCTCACCCTGATACCTGTACATACCTCCAACCTGCCTGGATGTTTTCACATGGGCTTAACTCCTGCTACCCATCACTGCAAGGTGTGCAAGTACATGCACATGAGGCATCCAGCCACAGCCAAACCTCGACCCCATGGCTGAATTCTTGAAGTGGCCTTGGTAAGCAGTCTCAGGGGCATTCTCAGGTAGAGTGGGTAGCGGCTCTGGCAGGTATAAGACACTGCTCTTTGCAGGTGTGGTGACTAAAGAAACTCCAGTTTTCAGGCATTGGGAAGCTACAAATCTACTGGTGATGTTTACACAGGTGTGGGCTGGGTAGCCCCCTTTCTACCCTCACACTCTGAGCACTGCAACCAGAGATGGAGGAAGTCCTTCAGGTGGCCTGGGTCCTATTTAGGCAGCTCGCAAATTAGATGGCAGAAGGGGATTTGCCCTGTCCTGAGGCGGGGAAGATCCCATAGTCTAGTCTGTGCTTCATTTTGGGAGGGTCTGGCGGCTTTGTTTCCTCAAACCCTTGAAACTGAGGTCCTCCGAGGCATCACACTGCAGCCCGAAGTGGATCTATCCCATTAACCTGAGCCCTGTTTCATCTCCTTCCTCTCTGCTCAATCCTAAAGTCCTCATGCTACCCTTATATACCATCCCTCATATCAGCACCCACCTGGCTTCTTAACTATCATTCAAGGGCCCTTCCAAGGAACTAAACTGCTTATTGACTGTTTCCTATGCAGGTAAAATTTATTCTTACCTTAAGCCTTTGTTCCATAACCTTTGTTTGATCCATTTGTCTCCACACATCCTTCAGCTCAAGGATTTCCCCTCAAAGTTCTCCTAGCCCCATCTGATCGTGCAGGGCCCCCTACTGGAATTTGCAGGCTGTCCCCAGTCCAGGCTCAGTGCAAGGAAAGAGCTCAGAGCACCTGTCCAAAGCTAGGGGGGTTGGGGAAGAAACTAGGCCACCCCTCCCCCCGCATGCAGTAAACCAGTGTCCCTGGCCTTTCTTTCTCCCCTTCCCCATTTCCGGCTGGCTTTCCAGCCC